AGCAAACTGTAAGTCCTTCTCACTTAATAGCGGTACGAATGGCAGTTGCTGCGAAACCAGACTGAGTCCACGTCCGATTCCCGCCACTTTACACCTACATCCATGGCAGCACTGTTGGGACGCAGCAGCTGCTCCTAGTTGAAAAGGGAAGGGGAGAGGGGGAGGGGGGTAATCCTGTGCCGGATAGGCTATTCTACCTGTGGAAAATTTTGGGATACAGGTAGTACCGTTAATTACCTTTGCCGCCAATATTCCTTCGTTCTAGTTCATTCCAGAACTTAGGATTTAGAATAATAATTTAGAAATACGTTTTCTTACGTATTTTTTCTGGTAGAATCGAATGGATGAACTAGTTTGTGCATTTTGTAGTTAATTTAAACAAATAATCAACAATTAAACAAAAAAACTAAGTTCCAAAAGCGATTTTTTTGGTTTTTCGCATTTTTAAACATATTTTTCCATAGTGACCTCTATATATTATTAAATAGTTGAAAAGTACATTTAATAACAAAAAAAAAGCGACCCAGTAGAGCATTGCACGATCATTCTCCTGGCCACAAAATCTTTTTGAAAAAGGGGGTGTTTTTTTGAAAAAATCGAATATCTTAGAAACTATTCGCTTCTCCAAACTCCAAAAATTTGTAGTTATTCTAGACATTCAAAAGTAGTATTCCACCAACTTTCATCAAAATTAAATCATTTTTCGAGAAATGAAAAATAAAAAACCGAAAACTTGATTTTTTGCATTTAACTCGGAAATTTTTAGGTTATGTAAAAAAGTGCCCTCTACAAAAGTTATAGATTTTTTCAAGACCTACAACTTTTGTATTTAACATTTTTTGATAAGATGTCAACTTTTACCGGAAATCGCCAAAAACCATTTTTACCCCCTTTCAACCCCCCTAGTAAACAGGTTACCTCACGGCCGCTTGGACATTAATTTTTTTTTTCATCCTTATAAGTCCCTTCACCACCCCCAATAGTCGGATTTCGGATAAATTTTTTTTCCTCTCAAAACCTAATTTGCCTGGTCTAATTGGCTATATTTTTTCCCTTTTTATTAAAAGTAATTTTATTCTCACGATGAAAAACAAAGCGTTAGATAAGCGTTACATAAGACTTTTATTTACAGATCATTATCGTCGTTCGTGTTTACTCTGAGCAGTAGAGTGCATACAAAGAAGATACTGTTTTTTTTATGAGTACAAAGTGCGTTAGATTAGAAATATGTGATTAAACATATTGTAATACTCTTTTTGAATGTGTTTTTCGTAATTTTTTATTAGTTTTATGAAAATAGAAATAAATATATTAATTTATTGTGATTGACAAACTTTCTAATGATCACAATATCCCAGACAGCACACAATATTTACAAAATATTTACAAAATATTTATAAATATTTATAAAATTTATTTTAAATATAATCCAAGTAAAAAATATTTATTAGAAATATTTATTTATATTTATCATAAATATTGCGTAAAATATTTAGTCTATATTTTAATAATATTTCGAATAAAGTTTTATATAAAATATGTTTGAAATATCTATATAACATTTCAAAAAATGAATATTAATAAATATTTATCATAAATATTCTATGCTGTCTGGGATATCTTAACATAATATATATTTTTATACATTTTTTAATATGCATAATTTTATAGTTAACTTTCCTCAAGATATTTTTTCTCCGTTTTTATGAAATGATTTTTTTAAATATCGATTTTTTCTACACAGATTTGAACAAATTTTTCTTCCGCCATATTTTTATCTTTTATATTTTGTTTAGGTATATTATTTTTATATTACATTGAAAATAAAAATTTGACAACTTCTTTCTATATATGTTATAAATAACTTTTAAACGTATAAAAGAAGTTTTTAAATAAAATGATGTCAAGTGTCTTTTAAAGAAATTTTTCTTTAAATTAAACAATTTTTAAATGGATTAAAAAATTTAAAAAAAAAAGTAATACAATGGAAAAAATTAGATCTGGAAAATTTCGTGTATATTTTCTATATTATGTTTATATATATTTTCTAGATTATGTTTATGATATTAATAAGATTGGAAATACTTGTATTTTCTTATCACATGTTCTGATAATTACAATAGTTGTAGTATATAAGTATATGATATATTAACATTTTTGTTTTCCTCTTTCGCAAATGCTTTTCTTCTCTGAGATCCGTAACTTACGTATTGATCTTTTTTTAGAGACAAATTTTAAATAAATGCAGAATATTTCTCGTTTCTAAAATTCTTTTCTTGTTAAAAAAGTGTATTTTCTTGTTATAAATAAGTGACAATATGTTCGATAACACTTATACATCAGTTATATATATCATTCAGATTAATCTCTGTTTTGATTAATAAAGTTAAGAGAGTAATTATCATTCGTTATCATAAGCTATTTCAGATATAAAAATGAAATAACAGCAATAGCATCAAAAGAATATCGTTTCTTGAACGCAATCAGTTAAAAGGAAAAATGATCAGGACCGTAATTTTCATCTTGGCACTGCTGTGTACAGTTTATGTGAGTCCAATAAATTACATTTAAGAAGAGAAAAATCTAAATCACTCTAAATAAAATAAATACTTAGAAAAAGAATATAATGGATAATTTTTTCGTTTTTTGATCCGAGTCTCGTTAATATTTTTTTGAAAGATTGAAAATTATATCTATTATTTTACAATTCTTAAATAATTTTTATAATTAAAAAATATAAGAAAATTTTTTTCGTTTTTCTTTAGAAAAATGCGTATCTGAGAAATATATATATATATATTATAGTATCTCCGTTTTTATATTTTATATTTTAATAACGAAGCTTTCATGTCTTTTTTAAGGCATTGGAACAAAATGTGACAGATTCTTCGCTCGGTTTCGAGCGATTAGTGGATGTAGAAAAAGCAACCACCCGAACTATATTGTACGGTCTATTATTTTTCGAAGCGCAAACGCCGCAGAATCTAGAAGTGCACCTTCAAAGAATACAAGAAAAAGCTTTAGATAATATCAACAATACTATTAATAGAGCACTTGAAGATGTCAATGTGAATATCATTCATTTTTATTATTATATTTAATAGAGATGAAAGAGAAAGACATTTATATGGATATTGTACAAGAAATATTTAATATTATAGATAGTTACAACATTTGAAGCCAGCATTACAGTATCAATTTTTTAAATGAATTATGAAAGATGTATTTACATAAAATATACAAACTACTTTTCTAGCTGTCCCTTCAAAAGGGAAAAGAAGAGGGTAAAAACGTTGGCACGTGTTACCATTATGCGGAGAATAATCTAGAGTCGAAAAGAACAAATGCAATTGTTGGATTGGACATATGCATCCAAAACGGTCGCACGGCAATGAAAGGCCCATTAGCAAACGTAGTCAGCAGTATTCAGGTAACCAATTTATGAAAATGATAAAATTTCATTATACGTTAATTTATTAGAATTACAGAAACCTTTTTTTCATTGTAATCACAATTTTAAAAATGTTTACATTACATAATAATCTTTTTAATTTACTGATGTTATAAAATTGCATTTAAATATAACTTCCTTATTGTATATTGCATATATAAAATATATGTCCGTATATTATAAACATATATGATCTATACGTTTTACGAATTTATAGTTCCTATACAACTATATATTTCATCACAAATAAAAGAGTAGGTATTGCAATTTATAACACTTTAATTTTAAAATTATCTTTCTAGGCGGCGGAAAAGTTACTAAATGATTTGAACGCTATCATACCAAACTGTAATTCTACAAGCTTCCTTAAAAAGCAAGCATGCGTCTTGAAAAACCTTTCCCTAACCAGAGAATCGCTGAAAAGTGTCGCTAAAAATTCTATGGAGGTGGTAACTATCACGACAGGTATATACATGAAAACACTTGTAAACGTCAAAAGTTGCATCGTAAAGAACATTGCTGAGACTTACACTTTCAGCATGAATATCGTTAGGTATACTAATAATTGCATAAACAATGCATTTTTCTAAGAATATATAATCCGAAAACACACAATTATAAAACCAACTTTTGGCGAACTGTGATCTACTACCTACTACAATTTTTAATTAATTTCTTATTTTTTAATTTACGTACTTTATTTTTAATTAAAAGCATTGATTATCAATCTAAAGATATCATATTGTCTTTAGATCTTTTGTCTTTAAAATAGACTACAATGTTTTTCATTCGAATAAAAAATGTCTCCTTATTTTCAGTGTTATGTCCTTTCTCCTTATAAATATCATATAGTTAGATTAAACGGTTTTTGTATTCACAAGTGAAAAAATGTCGCTTCAGATCGTAACTGCATAGTGTAGAAATATTAAAAATAAAAATTATGATTATATCAGACTTAAATTCAATTAGTTTTCGCTGTAAACGTATTGATTGTTAGCAATATATTTGTTGCGTATGGATAATGGTAGTAGTGGGAACAATAACAGCAACAACAGCGATAGCGGCAGCAATAATAACAATAGTATTATTTATAATTATATTTATCATTAACATACTTCGATAGAATTATACATATTATTAATTATAATCGCCGTGGTCATGATTATCTTCACTTATATACACGTGCATACGTATATATGCGTATAGACCCATGAAAGCACACTTGATAATGCGAATGTTTCGCACTATCATATATACAGAGCGTCTCAGAAATCGCGCACCTTCTTTATTGATTCTTCAACAAGTTTAGAATCAATTTTTCCGTAACGAAAGTTCAATTGGACTTCATCTTTTACATCTATTATACTGCACACATATCAAACATCTTGACAATCGCATCTTAAATATTACAAATTTTAGATTTTCATTCGTGTGCATCTTGATTCCTTTTTCAAGAGTCCTTTAATTTATATTAATCGTTCAGCAAAGGCTCGATACAGCTAATCATCATTATTCGGCATCAAGTGTCCAGAAGAAGTGCACGATTATTGGGACACCTTGCGTATGCATATATTTCATACGTTAAAATATTTCATAAGAATATCATATATACACAGGGTGGCCCAGAAATAATGGGTATAAATAATTGAGTTCGATTGTTTCTTGGGGGGTAAAGACTCAAGACTGGGTTTTATCATTAGATGTATAAAATCAGTTATTGAAGATTTTACCGGGGAGATTCGCATGAAAGTAATTTGGTGTGTCGACAGAATCAGTGCACCCGCTGATGGCCACATATAATCGTTAAGCGAACGTACATTGGAACGAAGGATGGGGACTGGTATTGAAAGCCCCCTGGCGAAATTTTATCAAATTTAAATCTGGGTACTGAGCAAAAATAACCGAGGATTAACAAAATTACTTGAGTGGCAATTACTGGTACCGCGATGCATAATACTATCGTACTACATTGCGTACTACTGTGGAAAAGCATGCTTACCTTGCACTTTCTATCTTTCTAGGAAATCGAATCTTAAAACATTTAAACACATCTTGATAGGCGCACAATCATTTCTTTTTACTACAAAAATCTGAATACAGCATTAATGTAAATATTCCTCGTATTTCGCACGAACTATATGTAAAAGCTCGCTTCCTCCGTCGAAATAAATATCACACGCCGTTTAATTACTGCTCTAATAAGGACTATAGTAGAATTAAAATATTACAAGCGCATACTTATTGATATGGCTATCAGGATATAAAGATTCATTTTTATAACGTTAAATTTTCCTAAGTGGATTATATATGCTGTCTTATTTACAAATACAGTCTGCGTATAGAACTGTTCGATAGACCATACAATTGACGATTAACTCACCGCGCACTTGGGATCCTACTGTTTTATGTACAGTAAAAAATCTTAAAAATCGATGTGCATCGCGGTACAAGAAGAGGAATCTCGTTTCGGGATTTCGCAACGTTTGAAAACTGCAAAAGTATCTTATGTAAAACGCATTACAGACGACACATTCAGCGAAGGAAAAATTTTTCTAACGATAAGTTATATCTGTAACAAATTCTCTTCTTTTTCTTTCTAAATCGAGATGGCCATATAAACATCCCTAAGTTTTTAAATTATTTACGAACAAAATAACATGTTTAGCATTATATATACGTGCGCAACAAGCCAAAATCTTCATAATATAATTTTATATTTCAATATTTATATATATGTATATATATATATAACAATTGAAAATTTTTTTAATAGAAAACATAAATTTGAGGAGTTTACACCATGCCATTCGCGTGAATCTCAAACTCGTTAAAACAGCTTACGAGACACTACAAAGTATCTTAGTAACTTTATTGTAACTTTATCTTATTTTCGTTCTATTTACGAACCATTTTTACTGACAGCAAATATTCGGTTCTGTCTAAGTATAATAAGCTATATGCACTAGAGCTTCTCTGTAAATGCAATTGTACTTAACAAATTATGAGCAAATTCTTTTATTATAATTTACTAACAATGTACTGCTATCTGTGTTCCCGACCCATATATTATCCTCTCTGGTGCAACAACGACTCCTATATTGTTTGAAAATCTCGAGCTATTATTCTTTCGGTGAAAATTAATCGACAACAAACTATCAAGATAAAAAAATAGAGAAAAAATAGAGTTCATATGTTTCGCCATACCCGATAAGAGAGCATATTACAATTACAATACTTAAAAACGAGATGCGAATTCTTGACTTAAAGAATAACATAGAGGACTTATATATATGACAAGTCAAGTCCAGCGGTAGTACATAATTCAAAATTGCGATATTTCAGAGGTCAGGAAGTCGGATAAATGTATCTTACTCCCACACACGTTTATAAAAACAATTATATATATGTATATGTATATCGAGATAGTTTGTACACATTTCCTTTACGTATTTATCTCGTTATTTAACTCGTTATTTTTTTTTACCGTGCACTAATGTGACTGTTTCAACAAAACTATTTTGAGAATTATATTGAGACATTTTTTTTGTTTTATGGACACAGAGGAAGATTGTATAATAACATGTTGAGATAAAGAAAGAAATTTTATGACTTCCTGCACACATAAAGCTCATCGCAATATATTCTTCGCGTCCTTTATGCCGCAGGTGATGTAAGTGTATCTGACCTGTGCATTCTTTATTAGTCATTTGAGATATTACCACTGTTCCAAGACCTAGCAAGCACATGAATCACCTCTACCATTGCTTCTTTGGTCGTTGGTCAATTTGATTTGATCCGGGAATTCATTGTAAAGTTCGACCTAAAATCCGCAAGGATATAAAGATAAAATTGAGATAGGTGGATCGAGAAAAAACTCTGCGCCTCTAATATACTCACTTCACTTTCTTGAGCTAAAGCATTCTTAGCTATCGTTTGGAAAGCTTGCTCAACATTAATAGCCTCTTTTGCACTAGTTTCAAAATATGGAATATTGTTCTTTGATTGACACCACTGTTGTGCTCTCTTGCTTGAGACCTAAAATAAAAGATACAGAAAAAATGTAGAAAATGAGAAAAACATAAATTGCAACTATTAAATTAAAATTTAATTTAAAAAATTTAATTATTAAATGAAAGTATTAGGTTTTAAATAGTATTTACATTTGCATGTATGAAACAGTTTAAAATTATGTTGAAGATTCAAAAATTATTTTACTTACTGCTCTTGATTCAAGATCTACTTTGTTCCCGAGCACGACAAACGGAAAATTGTCTGGATCTCGAGGCGAGGCTTGAATTAAAAATTCATCCCTCCATGAATCTAGAGATTTGAAGCTAGTTGGAGCCGATACATCAAATACCAGTACACAACAGTCTGCGCCTCTATAAAAAGCCACTCCTAACGATTGAAACCTCTCCTGTCCAGCGGTATCCCAAATCTAAAACAAAAAGAACTCCGTTAGAAATACAAGATACTGACGATTTGTTAAAATAATTAAACACAAGGATTACCTGCATAGTGACTATTCTATCCTCTACCATCACTTCCTTAGTCAAAAAATCTGCCCCTATTGTCGCTTTATATTGGTTGCTAAACTTCTTATTGACATATTGGTTCATTAAAGAAGTTTTCCCAACTCCCGAATCCCCAAGGATAATTACTTTCAGCAAAACTTTCTTGCGAGATGCCATACTTGCTGAAAAAAATATAAAACCATATTAGAAATTAATTCTTGCGAGAATAAGTGCTTGGAGCAAAGGTCAGTGTATAATTTAAAAATAGGAATCATATTATGACTAATACATAACTTCCTTATCATATAAAGTCACGCGCGAGTACTTATAATATTCTAATATGATTTTTCTTTTATATTAAAATGTGATGATCCAATATAGAAATTTTTTAGTGACTGTCATTTCACAAAAATTTATATCAACATGAATCCTTCAAATTCTTGTATATAAAAAAAAGTTAAGTTGAAATATTAATTATATATAAAAATTTAATTATATGTGTATATAACAAGTACAAGCAAGACATATAATTTATGTTTTAATATTTTGTCTTTGTATAAATATATAATAAAAATTAGAGGTATCGTATCTCCATAAATTTTTTAGAAAATTAAGATCGGAGTAATTGAAATATAAAAAATGTAATATTAAGTATCTTTGTAAGCAAATCTGAAATTTTAAAATTTTATTGCTTCAAATCAAGAAAAATAATATTCTACAAGTTGTATTTGTAAAAATTAAATTTGCTACAATTTTGTAATATTCAATTTATAATTTAGATATTATTCCTTTGACATTAAAATGAATGTAGCTTTTTAAAAGTCTCATCATGTGACTTTTCACAAAGCAAAAAATTTTCAAACAATGAAGGATAAGCACCAGATGTTGTTTCCTGAATTGTAAATATTAGAAACTAGATCAGCTTCTGATATTACATTCCACCCATGCTCTTTCAACTATTTACACAAATTTATCATGTGCACCGAATCAAAAGTCACCAATTATTACTGCACGAAAGCTTAGAGTTCGCCGAATGTCTGGAAGAAATGTTCGATTAAATGAATCATCTAACAACGTTAATGAGGGAAAGGAAAGACTCCGAGTGGCAATGACGTATGCGTATACAACGCGCTCGCCAAAAAAAAAGAGCGACAGAGCGAGAGAGAAAACGAGCGAGCTTTCTTCGCGAGAACGTTCGAACGCGAGGTATCTGGCGGTCACCGATGATCGACACTCCCGAAATCCGCGGCTTCGAGGAGTATCCGCGATGCAACAAACGACGAGAGGGTAGCGCGAGCGAAATACGTCGCGATGCGAGCGGAATCCGTTCCACCGTACGTTCAACGCCTTCGACGAAATCTGTCACACGCAAGGGGCTTCAGGACACTCGGGTTCACTCGAGATACTCGAACTCGGCGCGAGCGTGTCCACGGATGGGCGGACGCGATCCATGTCGGAACCACCCCGCGTCTTCCGCGCGAGACGCGAATTCCGGGGAAACGTCGGGGCGAGGCGGGCTGGGGCACGTTACCTGGGGAACTCGTCAGGGAACACGGCCTGTGAAAACACCTCCGCGCTCCAGCGTTTCACACAAAGAAAATGGCGTGTTATGAAATCACGAGTATGACAACGATGTCGTCACCTGTTCGCCTCGCCTCCCTTATCGACCGAGTGCAATCGAGTGCATTATTCGCGACGGCAGCGGCGCGCGTCCTCCGAATTTCGAGAGGTCGATACGGAGATACCGCGATATATCGATTACTCGCGGAATGTGAAGGCGCGCGCGATTGGCCGCTGCTTCCGCGCACACGGTCGAGCCGACTTATCGCGATTGGTCGAGATTTAAAAACTCGACATGTGACATTTGAATTTGTAGCTCACTTCGGTTTGTCTCTTTTCGTATCGGACGTAACGTAAGCGATGATAATAAGCTATACGTAGCTATAAATGTCATAATATGCCATAATCGACGTGTTTCCCTAATTATACGCATTCTGTTACGAAAAAAATGACGAGGGAAATTAGTGTTTCGTCATTTATGTCATTTATTATCATCGGGAAAGCAGAATAACAAAAAATTATCTTAAAATAGAATTACACACAGAAAAAGATTTGTTTAGACTCGAGAGTTCTATTTACATTCATTGGAACAAACTCGGTAAGAACGAACCGCGGTAAAAAATTTATCATGCATGAATATGTATAATTATGTATAAACATACATAAACGTGTATAAATATTCATAAACATACATAATTTTATATGAAATATGTCCATATATCCTTTTTTCTCTTGTAAAATTATGTTTTAGTATAATAGAAATAATAATAGCAATAATTGTAAAAACATTAAAAATAATTAAAAGGGTAATTTTCGCACTATTTGTTTTAGAAAAAAACAAGTTTGAAGAAATTACTTATGTATAATTATATATAAAATTATGTATAATTGTGTATGAGCAATTTTTTTTCATTTTTTCAAATTTGTTTTTTTCTAAAACAATGCGAAAATTATCCTTTTAATTATTTTTGATGTTTTTTCACATTACTATTACTATTTCTATTACACTAAAAAATAATTTTACAAAAGAAAAAGGGATGTATGGACATATTTCATATATAATTATACATGTTTATAAATATTTATACGTGTTTGTGTATGTTTAGACATATTTATACATATTAATGCATGAAAAACTTTTTACCGGGAATTTAATTTTAAATGAAACATCCCAAGCAGCACAATTCATTGGCGAAACATTGGTTAAATGTTGGCATACATTGAGGATATATTGGGCCAATGTTGCGCCGATGAATTGTGCTACTATTTTGTTTAGGCTGGGTTTTTCCATCTTTCGGTAAACTTCAGCTCACTGTCTTACTCTCTTACTCTCTTATGTTCTTACTCTTTTACTCTTTTGTTTATCCAATAAGTAAATTACCACATAGTTTATCTAAGGATGGAATACCGGCCCTTAAACAAAATTTAATTCTAGTTGCAATGCAAGTAATGTATACATTATTTATTATTTTAAATATTTATTTAGTTAATTGAACTATTCCAATTCATTTTGTTTAATTTAAACCTTTTCTTTGTATATGTAAATGAAAGTTAATGCGGCATGCATATTTTTGTACTGAATTGCTTGCGTTTCAGTAAATTACTAGAAATTATGTGTTCTCTATGATGCGACTCTAGTAATTAATTTACTAAAATACAAGCAAATCCAAAATACATCGTTGACTCTAATTGAATGATCGAGAGAGAAAGAAAGGAAAGAAAATTCATTTTCTCGCGAGATTAACAAGATAAAAGATGTATTTTTTTACATCGATGACTAAAAAAAAGAATCAATTTCTTCATACAGATTAGGGTCCACATAAATATGCATAGCGCATACAAATCTGAGTGCTCATCGCTCTGACATTTCGGGAATAAAATCTGTGTTTTTAATCGTTATCCTTGACATACCTCGTGAGCGTGAAAAAAATGCTACGTGGAATATATTGCAGAATTTTAAGATTTTGCAAATTAATCGCGATCAGTTATACTTAATTCAGTCTACGAAGTGTCGCAAACATTCAACAGGATGTCTTCGAAATAGATCGCCATTTGGCAACCATTCTCTTGCAATTTTTGTAGACAAGGACATATGGATCGAAATAAGATTGTACATCGTACCCAAGCAAAACGTTTCTAACGAAGTACGTAATCACGAAATATTCGAGAATCTACGATAAAATAATCGATCTATTGTCTATCTATTGTCTATAGCCGCATGAACGTATCGCGTATGCGTAAAGAAAATCTTTCTATAACTTTCATGTCCAATTTTTTCTTCTTTTTCAAAATTAATTTCTTGTGAATATTCATTAGGATAGTTCGTTTAAGCGGTTTTAATTATTTTTTTATCTTCTTTAAGATTTAAAAAACGCGATCCTTCTGCGCCCCTCCTGGTTATGCCCATGATGTATACATTAATTGTACCCAGACACAGAATATTTATATGATAAATATTTATTATTCATTTTTTAAAATGTTATATAAATATTTTATAAATATTGTGTGTTGTCTGGTACGGCTATGCACTTTTATTTAGATAGATCATAAACCATCAAAATGACATCTAAATGGCTCCAAATGATTATTAAAAGTCACTTTTCGATCAGTAATGACTTATTTTGACGTAAAAGTGACGTTACCGTGATCTGCTGTTTTGCTTAAGCAAAAAAATTGTATATTATTTATTATCGTAGATCCTCGAATATTTCGATATCGCGTATTTCGTCAGAAACTTTTTGTCTGAAGTAAAATTTTGCAAGAATTCGCAGAAAAATCGTACATGTTTAATCCTGCGTTTGATAAAATATTCTGAAGAGCGGAAAATACAATTTAAGTTGTCACTTAATACAATAATTTTTAATTAATTACGTAAAGGCATGCGAAAGGCAACAATCGAAACCGCGATGCTGATTAACATTATTCAATATATTGCAAAAGACGCAGTCGAACGAAAAGTTATAGAGACGTTTCGCAGTCTCATCGACGACTTATGCGAATTTAATAAATAATATCTGATTTCGTTGCCGCTAAACTTGATCGTAAATTACAAAATTGACATTTAATTAACAGAAATCGCAGAAATATTTTGGCTAATTCGAGCTGCCGCGATGACAACCGTCTATTATAGCATCCTATCTTCCGTCCTTTATTTAACTTAATCAAACTCGAAATATAAGCTGAGAAGCAGATTGTCGGAGTATAAGCCGGGTGAAAGTAGGTCTCGTAAGAGATTCGAGAGAGACCGAAAATCTCGTTAGCTTCTCGCCTACTTTTACGACGTTAATCATCACTTATATTTTATCGAAATATCATTGCAAAAAAAAAACAGAAGAATGAAAAATCGCAGAAGAAAGCGCATCCTGTACGAGTGATGACCATCGTCCGCAGAATCGTTAATATAAGCGAAAATAAAAATTCAAAGTTAAGACGGGATAGACTTTTAATCGCTAGTTTTGTCACTCTACACTTAAAAAAAGATCAAGTTTTTTTTAAATACTACACTTTAATTAAGTTTTTCTTAAATAAAAATGAAAAATGAAAGAATATGCAATTGGAAGACGGCGCTTATTTATTTTTATTTGTTCGCTTGACATAATTTTATAGAATATATAATCAATTTTAAATTTTGTTATAATTTTTAATATTAAATGTAATATTAAAAGTTATAATTAATTCATCAATAAATGTTATTTATACTATAATAACAGATAATAAATTATAAATTCATCAATAAATTAATAATTCTGAGGGGAAAAATAGGAAAACGGAGGAGGGAGACAAGTGCGACGTACGATTGAATTAAATAAGTATTAATTTAATCACATATAATTACAATCACACATATTTGCGATACATACTGCCAGGCTCTACAGAGTAATTTGTCATATGCTGAGAAAGAGCTTAAATCAACTTAACTAAAAAAAGTGCGCCATTACCGATTATCATTGGAAGATATATCATTGAAAAGTGTTTAAACTTCTCAAACGCTTCTGTGCGAAATATAATAGAATAATCACGAAACAATATACATCAAAGAAATGACTTAATTTTTTAATATGTTTATCTTAACCTTTAATATATTTATTTTTTTTCGTGAGACATTCATTATATTTTTTGTCAAATCTTCTTAGATATTTAATGTACACTTTGCAAAATTATTCTGTTTCCTTGTAAATTTTCGTAAGTAAACTATACGTTCGAGGGTTGAGCAGCTAAAAGAACATGGGGGAAATTAACAAAAGAGTCGAGGTGGATTACGATAAGATTACAGATCGGGTAGAATGAGTGCGTTTGGAAAGCTTTCATCGTGCTCGTAGTTTGCAAAGACGCGGCCTGAATTTATATACAATTAACTTAATCTGGATTAAATGGGATCGGATCACGTTAGATGGTGAGCGAAATCGCGATATGACCTCGTCGTGATGGATACAAACGTTGCACAATTCTGTCGAACAATCCATAATCGAACCAAATACGAAGAGATCTGTGTTCTAGCGCAACGTGCAACGGTCTGATGGCTATTACACGACAATTTATCCTTTCCTCGAATAAATGCCGTAAAATAACGCGACTGATCGTTCCATCATATTATTAAGCAGATCTCGGTACTCTAATACCAATACAAAATAAAATTATATTTTGCATGTTTACTTTGCGCTGGAAGTCCGCTGGTCTTTTCATCGCTCTTGGAGAATTATTATTATTATATATCAATCCTTGAATGTATATGTTCGCCGCATCTGACTCTCGTCGATCGCATTGATAGATCGCGTCAAATATAATCAGGTCCAATCGACAAAATAACGGATCACGATAACGTCAAATTGATTTTAAAATGAATCTGCGACTGATCAAAAAGCATGCTCAGTCAAAGAGAAAGTCGGAATGTCTTTATCTTGACGTCATGAAAGTCAAAATGATGATTTTTTTTTTATTACAAAATTTGATTGTTTATTGACGTCAAAAATCAAAATAAAGTCATTTTGATTTTTCTGTTGACTTTTGTGTGTTCCTTGAGTTGAATTTTGGAGACATTTTGAGGGCATTTTGACATCATGATCACTTCTTGTTTTGCTTGAATCTTGCTTGAGTTGAGGAGGCTACATCGCAATCTTCGCCCTGGGAACAAGGTGGCCTTTTGCTTTTGTGTCGGGCTTAGGGCTTCGGCGTTTCCGGCTGCGCCTTCGCCGCATCCTCTTCGCTCGGCGGTGGCAAAGTCGGGATCTCCGGATACTCGAGCTTGGCGCCGTCCTCGCACTCGAAGATCGGACAGCATTCGGGGAAGTTTGCGGTTTTGTTGGTCTTGTCGGAGAGCTTGCACTTAGGATTGGCCTTGGGCAACGGGCCACAGTCTTCCACTAACTCAAAGAGACGGCCGGAGTTGTCATCAGCGGGCACGCAGGTAGAACGACCGCAGAATGGCGACAGCTCCCACGATTTCGTCGGCTCGATGGTCGCACACTTGGTCGACGCGAAGCACATTCCAGGGAAGTCTGTAACATGATACATCATTCTTATCAGAACAAGTTACGTATAGAGTTGCGTAAAGGCCTGACAAAAGGAGAGTCAAGAGAAAAGAAAAGTTTCAGGATTGTTTAATTAACGAGTGTTTCTCTCATATTTTTAGAACATACTGTTATATAACTGTTATATACTGTTATATAAATTATTATAAAATGTAGAGATATGTTATTATTACATAGACAATAATATATGAAATAATATAAAAATGTTAAGAGTGTCTAAATTTATATATGAATAATATAAGAAATTATTATATTTCGTTAATATACGAAATAATTTATGGCATGATAATTTATAATAATTCATCAATATATAATAAATAATAATATACGATGTTATATAGAACAACGAACTTTTGCGTACATATAAACAACTAAGTAAAGAGCATTTGTTTTCTGAGTGAGTGTTTAATAATACGTTAATACTTTAATCCACTTTGGCCGACCTGTGTAGGGATTCGCGGATCTTTTTCGTCGGCTCGGTTTTCATCGACGATGACGCACTTGTCTAACAAGTAAACCTACGGAAGTGTCACTCACCGATTTTAATGAACTTTGCATATTTGTAAAACTATGAAAAATATTTGACACATATTTTTTTTTATCGGCAAAGAGTTCACTCTGAAGGGTTAAAACTATCCCTTAAAGTGGTAAGGAGTAGATTTAATATATTAGGTGAAATAAGTTGAAAATTTTAAAAAGTAAAATAGGTTAGAGGATTTTTGGGGTTACTGAAATTAAATCTTATGTCCAAAGTATGAAATTCAAAATGGCCGACCCAATATCGCTTATTTCATCTAATATATTAAATCTACCCCTACCTTTAAGGGGTAGTTTTCATTCTTCAGAGCGAACCTTTGCCGATAAAAAAAAATACGTGTCAAATATTTTTCATAGTTATATACAAATATCGAAAGTTTCATTAAAATCGGTGAGTGATCTACTTCTATAGGTTTACTTGGTGAGTAAACTAGAGATTACATTATATAAGTAAAATATCAATCAAAGCCAACACTATAGGTGTTCATGTGTAAATTCAAATTCTTTATTGAAGTCAAATTTAAGTTTATGTATCTCAGCGTACCTTTTTTGTTTTACTATGTTTGACTGCGATAATTACTTCAATTTCTACACTGAAAAAAAGATTGACTGCTGCAGCAAATTAGATGGTAAAATATGGCATAGCATATTTAATTAGTTGCAGCAGCCAATTTTTGGTTGTGTTAGCCTATCGAATCTATACTGACATTGCAGATAGGCTAACGCAACTAAAAATTGGCTGCTGCAGCCAATTAAAAATACTATGCCATATTTTACCATCTAATTTGCTGCAGCAGCCAATCTTTTTTTTTCAGTGTATGTAACAAATTCGACTACAGTATGTTAATTATTTAGAATGACCCAAAAGTGTAGGATCGAAACATCTTAAAGGAGGATATTAAAAAATGGCTCAAAAAGGTATAAACAAAAGAAATAGAGTCTTTTTTTTGTAAAAGAAATAGTGGCTCTAATTGACATTTTACTTATTGACTTATTACATTCTTTAGCCTTCGATCTTGTTAGAGATTGAAGTAAAAGGCTATCCAAATCGCTGGTTGGCTGGTCGAAGTCGAACGGTGAAATAAGACGGTGATCGCGTTTATTTAATAACGCGTTCGCTCGCCCGCGTATTATATCGTTACCTCGATCGTCACGCGCAATTCCGCAAAAGTGTCGTTACTTTCTAACGCACCGTACGCGCTAGACCTAAACGGCATTAATACTCGCTGCACAATGTTGCTTGTTAATTATCCCGACCTGAATATCCGGACAGATGAAAGAATTAATGCGAGAGAGTGGATGTGTTTTTTTAATATCGCATTGCACATCGCGATTATGCACACTGGTGAAATTAGAGGCGCCAAACTATGAGCGTAGCCAAGATTTTAAATTTTTAGAAGGGAAAACGCAATAAAAAAACATTATCGCGAGCGATAATTAAGCAATATCCTTTGATCAGAGATCTCTGCTTTGATTTGTAATTTTATATTCGAGCATTATATTATTTTTTTATTATTTTGTATTATCTTTTGCTCTCCATTAAATTAAGTATAATTAATGTAACCAGATATTTTCGGATCTAAAGCAGGATAGTTTTATGTGAGAGAAAGAAATTATAAGATGTCTCTAAAGATAAATACATTTAAAAATAATACAATTTTTTTTATATCTTGACATGTTTGGCGGGACAGTCTCGTTATCTTTGAGATGAAAATTACAAAAAAGAGCAAATTCACTAGAATATTTATAATTTCATTGGTCAACACCTAGTGAATTTGCTTGCTTTTGTAATTTTCACCTCATTTCAAGGTACACAATCGATCCCCTGGTCCCATCAAGTATAGCCGTTTGGGAATAATCTTCTCACATCGGCGAACGCTTTAGAATATATATATATATATATATATATATGCTATAGAATATCGACGTTCGCATCATTATCCCTATTGTAAATCAACAACGAACCCAACACACCCGTTGGGTTCGGCATCCTATTTCCGAGCCAGTCTGTATTTGCAACAATAATGACAGTCGCGAATTTCACTTCCTCGACGCGAAGCCACACAACGACGACGACGACGAGCGCGACAGATGACGATATTACGGGGCTAATTCGAGTTGCAATTGGCGACGAACGCCTCGATACCCATCTATGACGATCATTGGAACAAGGAACACACCGGTGTTCGCGTCGTCGTCGTCGTCGTCATCGGCGGCGGCAACGGTGATCGTGCTAGAAACTTCAAGGAGAAACACTTTCACTGTCATACACCGGGCCGGTCGGTTGCGCGCCGCTTTTACGCAACGCGCCGACGACAAATGTTGGGCGTCATTACGACGGACGTCGACGCGTTGGTTTTACGGCTCGCGGTTACATCAGCCCTTCGAGGCCTGTCTCGCGATGACTCACGAGATCGTTTCATCCGAGTCGTCGAAGCGAGGATCTTTGAAAAATTCTTGATCGATTCTTCGATCGAAGCTGGAGAAATTTGAAAAAAATGAGAAGGAAACCAATCAGAATGATTTAATTATTAATAATTTTATCAAAGAGTAATTATTTTCGATACTCAATGATTATTTGCGATTATCAATAAATTATCAAAGACAAATCAAATTAACTCATAAAGTCGATAAATTATCGTAAATCATTATTTTGTTATTAAATTATCAGATAAATTATCTTGATCGAATTTTTTACTGTTTTTCTTGCTAATTTTTAATTTATTGGTTTATCTGCAATAATTTATCGATTTTATAAGTCAATTTGATTTGTCTTTTTTTATGAGTCACGTTGAGCGGTATCTTTCTAATATTTTACAATTTACATTAACATGTAATATCCGTGAAGCAGATAAGATCGAATAGAGGATTACACGTCTTGCATTGACGTCAGATTGTCTAGCCGTATAATACCAAGCTTGTTGTTCGTGTTAAACAATGACGTGTTCGTTACCGTTTTCTCAATGCCGACTTGAGCTGCGACGTGATCGGCGTTTACGGCACCGCTAATGTCTTTGCGGTTTTCTCGTTTTACCGGTCACTATAAAATAGTAAACAAGGACACTTACTAAAGACGCAAGAGATACGAGTAGAAATTACGATCTTTATGTCGATTCAATTAGAAGCATAGTACTTAGATTTTAAATTAGAAAGTGGAATCATAACTAAATTTCGACAAGAGAAATTTGCAATGAAGATCGGAGATATCACCTTTTAATGTTATATTCGATATAATTTATATATATATATATACACACGTTTATTATATTATATTATTTATCATATTGTTGTTCCTTTCAAGTGCGTTTTGAGGAAATGAGTTCTATTGCAAAGATTAAAGAATTTCCTCACTTAGTTAGAAAATTTGTATCTAAATATCTAAAATCTGTATCTAAGTATCTAAAAATTTAGTTGAAAATAATTTTGTTTAACCATCAAAATAATTATGAACACTTAAACGCTGATGCTGCAAAAAGTTTTAAAATTCTAGGTCTAGTAATCAGTTTGAGCGCCCTACATAAATATTTTGATAATTCAAACAAAATTATTTTCATATCTGTATCTAACTAAAATTACTTCAGCGAAACCGTTCCTTCCATGCAGAATTCTAAAATATAAATTGAAGTACAAAACTAAAATATCGTTAATCGATATTTGCAAAAAGACATATTAAAAGAGAAACGAGGAAAATATGACAAACTTTCACTTGCAAGAGGCAAGCAATATAATTCTCGTGAAATTAAAAATTCGGAATTCATTGAGCAAGCATCGTTTAAAATGCGAAATTACTAAATTAGAATTGCTGATGACTGCGACAATATATCACTGACATTCTTTTCAGAATGCAGAAACATTAACATTTGTCTCGTTGGAGAAAATATTCTGTGTCCCTCTTAAACGAAACCGGCTAGGCTTTCAAGAAGTCCTAATCAGAAAATAACGTAACAAGTAACAATTTATTATCATGATACACTGTGTGATACAACGATAAAGATACATGATTGCATCGCTAATCTGAAAAGTCTTGCATTCAGAAATGTTTCTTTCTCTCTGATTTTATACGTTTGATCTCGCCCGCACTTTCATCGTGCTGGTTATCATTTCTGGGTACCACTTTCTTGAAGTGCGCTTCTCGCTTTCCAATAGCAAGAATACTTTGCAAGACACACGTCACCATAATTTCGAAAAAAATAAATAAAAGTCTTATAAAAAATAAAAGTCCTATTAGCAATCAAAATTAAAAACTAATCGGGCTCTCGAAATTAAAAAACAATAATATAATATACGGACAATGAGAGCGTTAACACAGCGCGGTAATTGGTGCGCAATTTACACAATAGTCTAATAGTATTCACATAGTAATATATATATTAAAATTGTACAGTGACTGTCGATACTGTCCAACTTATTTGATTTGGAGAGAGAGAGAGAGAGAGAGAGAGAGAGAGAGAGAGAGAGAGAGACGTTTCGGTTTCTTTCAAACCATCTTCAGCAAATTCGTAGATAATTATCGTAGATGTATTGATAATAGTTGGAAGATGTTGAAATTATGTTCTATGTGAGACCGAAGATGAGTGTCTCCCTACTGTCTGGTTGGAAATTGTGTCCAATTTTTGTCTCTTCGCTGCTTAATCAAATAACTAACTGAAGAGTACAATAGGCATAATTATTATTTGCAGTGTATTCAATGTATGCTTATTTTACTTTCCCTCCTTCTCCATAGATCACAAATCAGTTATTCAAAGCGTAGTAAGTCAAAATATATCCTATTAGTAAGTAGTCCTATTAATTTTTATTTCGATCAAACAATATAAACATCAGAACAAATGTATTCTAAAAGTGTATGAAAAGTCCTTCGGTATTTCTTCTTTCGAGCTAAAAAAGGTGGAAAGAACTGGCGATTGTTCGTTGCTTATGTAAATAAGGTGCTAAGTATTGTTTGCATATCGCGTCAAGAGTTTCCGCGAGCCTGTCGTGTATTCGAGGCCTTCGTTTCGCGTATATATAATTTACGACCTTCCGAGAGACGGCAAATAAATAATTCTATCCTTCCCGTGAGCTTCCACACCCGTACTTATGTGATCTCCTGCCTTCGCTACAATTTGAGCAACGAGGTCGCTCCGTAATTCCCTCCTCGTCACTACTCCGTGACTAATTCGATTATTCATGGAAATTCAGGTCTGCGCCGACAAATAAGAAAGAACACGGCCATGGGTAATTAAAGACCAGGAGCGATCATCGCGTCTACGCGAATATCAAGGATTTTCTCTCAGGAAGGCACTCAAATTGATTTACCGCTCGCGGTTAACGCGATTTTATCTGAGAACGTTCGTAATTTTGCCCAACATCAGTCACGATGGCGATTCGCCATTTGATTGAATGGTACGAAAAGAAAAATGCCGCTTATACAGTGCATCACACTGAAAAAAGAGTGTTTAATTTCAAGATATTAAAATGTTTTATTCTTGTCTCCATTTTTTAAACACTTAAGGATGTTTTAGTTTTAAACTTTTTCAATGGACAAAACATTATGTGTTTGGATTTAAAACGCATAGTGTTTTGTGTATTGAAAAAGTTTAAAACTAAAACATCTTTAAATGTTTAAAACATAGGAACAAGAATAAAACATATTACTTTTTACAGTGCAGACGGGTCTTAATTGGCGAGGATTCTATTTATTTTTTTAAACGTTACGTATAATCCTTAAAATAAATCTGTGTTAACCCTGTAGTTCTGTTTAATTTATTATATAATTGTATCATTTGAGTCAATATAATCAAAACTTAAAAAAAAAATAATACATTTTCATAGAAACATTAACACAGAAAGTCACAAATATCAAAGGAAAAAGTTTTTATTAGATGTATCAACGTTTTTTACTCACTAAAAGAGCAAGCAAATAAATTACTACCAAAATAATGATAATATAAATAATGATAAAGTGTTGATAAACCAAATATAAAGAACATAAGATTGAAAAAATTTCAGGATCTTATAATCTTTTATATAAGAAATGTTATATTAATTAAAAAAATAAAAACAGTCAATAATAGTCACTTGGTACTTCAAGCATTAAATGAAATATTAGAAAAAAAAGTATAATTTCTGTAATTTAAATAAATGAACAAACAGAGTAACATTAAAGTTAGGATTAAATATATAAAACGTCCTAAGGATACAATGTAAGATTAACTTTATAATCTCAGTTTAACTTATTCTTTATTCTTTTTTAATTCTAGAACTAGGAAAAGATAAAGAGTTGGTTAAACCAAGATTAAAATTAAACTACATTAGTAGAAACGGACACAAAAGCAACAGGTTTCGTAACGATCTTGTTAACTTATCGAGAGGAGAAACGCATCACTGCACCCTGCGGACCGTATAAAGAAGAAAGTGATATCGGGAAAGGGAGAAGAAACAGAAAGAGAAGAGGGGGTATTATCGGGGCAAAGGGGATTATAAGATGATGGTTACAGCACGAAACTTTCACGCAGTCTCGTGATCTTGATGCCAACGGAACAGAGTTTGCTATTTTTCTTGATTTATCTGAGCAGGGGATCTCATCGTATCACGATACATCATCCTGCGTCCCTGCGAATCTCTGATTCACAGGGATCATGCTCGCGTTACGAGATAATGAGCGAGTCGACGCAAAAAGACGTTCGGCGTCGACGTTTATCAGGGTCAATTTACGCATGGATAAACACCTAAGATATAATGTTGAGACGCGCTAATTATGGAGCGAGAAAAAAGCCATAATCAAGGTCGACTCGAGAAACGGAAATGTAGGCGAGGACAAGATTATTTCAGAAATCTATTATTACAGCTCCAGCGATTGATTGAATATTAATTCTCGCGACTTTTAATGATTCAGCTGTGGATAATAAAGATTTTTCACGCAGAATTGAAAGCAACTTCTGATTTACACGGTAGATACTCTCTAAGCAAAATTATGAATGAAATAACAAAATTGAAAATGGAAAGTTTTATCGGGAGATAAGAAAATACTAATTTTCAGACTGAATACGCGCAGCGTATAATATGCGAATCAATTTAAAAACTGAATAATTATAAATTTCAATAAGGATAATAAATAATGGCAAAGAGCCTAACACGATGAAGATGCTGAAATAATTATATATTTATATATTACAAATTCCAAACGTTTCGGTTCTCACAGAACCATCTTCAGTGGACAATAAAGTTACAAATTCATCAATCTTCTAAATTCCTACTCATACAATGCAGTTTTGTCTTATGCGTCAGAATAATTATAAATTTCCTTTTTTAGATTCTATGTAGAAAGTAGATTTTATGTAGAAAATCAAGTCTTTATATATATTTTTTTTTAACGCAAGGTGAAATAATGACTTTTATAAATGACCGATTCGAACACAAATCGCTTCCACCGTGGATGACATTCGTGACACTACGTTATGTTACTTGGATTCCGAGACAGCTGTTTAATACGCATGACAAGACATCATAAGAAAGCCAAATGCCAAGTCTTCCAAGCACCGGTTGAAAATAACGACAATCGTCCCACTTGTCGGTCATGTACATACAGTTCTTTGAATTCGGCCAGACACCTTAACGCAGTGATTCTCAACCAAAGTTTCACGCTTTCATTTCTCGAGTAGATCTACTAGTGAATCTTGAGAAAATGAGACATTTATATTTACACTACCTGATAAAACAAAAATACTAATTTTCTCGACAAAATCGAAAAACAAAGTTTTCTAAAATCAGTAATTTATATTAATTTTTATATTTCGTCTTTATAGTTAATTTAGAAACGCGTCAACGAGCATGAGTTACAAGAAGAATTTAAGTTGCAAAGGTTTATTTTATTACATTGAATGATATAGTGAAAATAATTAATAAATAATTTTTTACGAGTTAAGAAGTTAATTAAGAAGCATGCAATGATCCCGCTATTCTAAAAGCGATATCTCTTCTTCGGTAACAAATTAGCATACAATTATTACGCTAATAGCTGACACATAATCAACGCGAGTTTCTGCCGTCAGATATATTACTTAATTGTTTTCATCTCGCGTGATAATATCAAGAGATATTAGCATCACGTTAAAAAGATAAAGATCATTGCAGCGAGATGCGCAGCGTGATAAAAATATTCTTTCGCGAAAAGAAATATTCTCTCGTTATCTTTCATCGAATTCTCATACAACTGTCGAGTACTGATGCTGACAATCAAATATTGAAATGAAACTCCTTTTACTGGCCTATTTATTTATTAAGCGATCTTAATTCCTACAGCACAAAGTTATACAAAAGTTGCAGCAATATTGCAGAGATTTTGCAGCGATATTGCTGCAAATTCTATGCTGTATGGAAATTAAGAAGTAGACATTTTTTTTAATGAGAGTAGGAGAAAATAATCGCAAATCTCTTAGATCGCGAGCTTGCCACGGAGTAAAATTCACCCTCGGGAAGGGTGGTTGAGTTGAGTTAAAACTCACCGCGAAGGACATCGGCGGGTATCAACCTTCGGAAGGTTTTTGGTCGTTCCTGCACCTGGGCATCCTGTGCGGCGACGAAGGCCACCGCGACGCACAACAGGGCGAATCTGAAGACGAGCTTCATGGTTTCGAGTCGAGCGATAGATAGATTCACAGGAAGAACCTCCTTCGAGATGGGAGGGATTAAGTGAAGAGGATTAGAAAAATGGAGCTTCTTCTGTATCGATTACGACTGGTTGGGCCCGATCTTCGTGGCGGCATTTTATAGCCGGCCATCGGGCGCGGTCCCTGTTATCCCCTCCAGGATCAGACGTGGTCTCTCACCTCTTGAACCACCAGTCACCGAAGCATCGTTCGCGACCGGGGCTCGAGTGACTCCGAAGGCACCGTCAGGGTCCACACGACAGGTAGGGATGCATGGAATATCCTACGTGGCCGCTGTCTTTGATCGTCCTATGATGTAAATATCAGATTCTTACATGGGTCGTACTATAGTCTGGTGGAAGATTCGTTTGACCTGGGAGAAAAATTCCTGATTGCTAGCGAGGATATCAGGTCATCGATGATATTTGACTTGCAACAGTATTGTCCAAATGTGTAATTCTTTTGTTAAATTGTTAGCATTGACTTGACGTATGTCAGAGTTCGTGTCTATCGCTTTTCTTTTTCTTCTCCATTAAGAAAAAGAAAAGGAAATAAGTGTGAATATACATCAAGCCAATGCCTACAATTACAAATCTTGGACAATATTGATTAACAAGAACGAGAAAAAGGGTCTTCTTCGCAAACATATCTTTGCAGAGCCAAATAGTTAACAAATCTACGTTCTTCAACTAATTCTTGACGGAATTTACTTTATATAATAGGGTTTTAATTTGACAGTTGTAAGAACGCAGGAAATTAGAGGATTACAATAGATGATGACCAACCTCGACATTTCCGCTGAGGAAAAGTTGGCCCCAAATTAGTCGGAGAATCTGTCATTAAGAGAACGTGTGTTTGATGGTTTTGATGGTCCTTGAGACAACGTACAAGCTTATACGTGTACAGGAAGAATTTTATTTTTAGAAAGGTTTCTTTTATAATGTCGAGTTATAATACGTCGTTAATATTGATCAGTTAATATCTCATCATTATTGCCAGTTATAAAATGTAAAATATTATTTTAAGATACTTTCGCTTATCGAGTGCTTTCAAGAATAGATTAAAATATATCGAAGTTTATTGCTTCCTCACTTCATAAGTTAATGATTCAGGCACCATACGGTTAATTTATGGATAGACGTGATTTAATAAGGCATGCAGCAAGATTAATTGACAGACAACTATTTATTATCTTGTACTGTAAACGTGAAATTGCTGCAAACATATTTTCAGAGATTAGAAACTGTCGTTAACTTTCATCTATTCATTAGTAAATTTCGCGAGCACTTTTAAAACGCGACAATAAATGGTGTTTGTAAAATTTTCATTTGTTCTAAGTTAATATAATTTCAGATCAGCGACAGCGAATTATGACAATAAACGACGTGATGTAAAAAAAAAGAACGCCTTGACTCGAGACACTCGATAATACGCGTAAGAAATTAATAATTACACGTCTTAAATATATATTGTTTTGTTAATTGGTTAAAGACTACCGCGCCAATTCCAGAGAAATAAATTGTAATTTAATTAACACCCTGTATATCAAGATGCGTGCTTGTGCGTTGCGGTTCCGTGCGTGCTTCGTGCAGCACGCAAAAACAGTTGTCACGTAGAATAATAGCGTGGAAAATGTACACCGCTCGTTTTCAGCAATTACAGGAGCTTAATAACAGTAATACACGTTAAACTATCAACATGATAAACTTATAATAAAATGCCGTTGTCTGTAACAATTTGGATCCCACCCGTACGTTGACGAAGAAGAAAAGCGTGCCGCCGAGGATGAATACAGTTTTATGAAACCTGGGCAAAGAGAGAGAAAGAGAGCGAGAGAAAGAGACTTCGGGGAATTTTACTTGCTAAACAAGATTCTCTCTCCGAAGTTCATAAATTTAATCGGAATGTAAATTACGCCGCCCACTTAAAATCAATTTAGATCGAGATTTATGGCGATGAATAATTTACAAAGCGGACACAGTTATACAATGGTGAATCCAGCTCGAAAAACTGGTATTGCAACTGTGAGCTTTTTAGAAGAACACTACAGTTAAAAATAGTCCGATATTAACATCTTGCAATTTAATTATTCTCTATTTTATTTCGACACACTGCAGAACAGCGTTCTGCAGTGTGTTTTAGCAATATCGTCTGGATTTCTTGGCTGTGGTTTTGTGTAACTTCACACGAAATTCTTCCCTTGAAAATTAGGTAATAGTCCGTCGATACACACAAATCCCGAAGCGTCATTAATACGGGCTTCTCGGAAGGAATTAACATAATCATTAGTAACCATGAGCATTAGGAAAGCCGTAGCGGGTAGCTGATTCACTTCAGCGTGAAGGAGTTGCTTAAAGGCGCGACCCGTTTGTATAATATAATTCGTATGTTTTGTAAGTAACACCGATTAAGCGCGGAAACGTATGTTGAGCAATATCGCGCTCGTGTGTTGCATAATATTATTCCCGTCGCGCGCGTGAGATCGAATCTCTGAACGTATGATTCTCTCATTCGAATGCTGATTTAATGCTGCACTATGGAAAGAAAATGTGTGATACGTAGTATAAGTATTAATTAAGGATGTATATACCACATCTTAAAACATTACCGAAAATAAAAAAATTTCATAGATTATTACATCTGAATAGCTGTGTAAAATTCGAGGAAATTCTCTTATTAATTTAAATTATTTAATTTTTTTGCTTGATTCTTATGTAAAATCATGTTTTGTAATATTTATTTGCAAATTTGATGAGAAAGTAATATTAAAAATTAAATCAAATTTTATATATATATACTAATAAAACAATAATAAATATTCGAGCAAAAGGTTATTTGGATCATTTAAAAATTATTCACTTAAAATTTTATGCAAAAAAATTGTCATTTTACTGCATAAAACCATTATAATAAGCCAAATTAATCGTTTTGTTTTTTTTTTGCAGTTGGTTTTAGGACTAACATAATAAAAAATTTTTGAATCCTATTATATATGTTGACTGATATTAGCTATTTTTGGCTGATTATTTGATTAATACTTAATAGATTACATGTATAGATAAACATCTTTAATGAAATGTAGAGAAATAATATATTGCTATGTTTTTCCTTAAAAATATCTTAAATCAATGGCTGCGTTCAGTAGAGAAAACAGTTCTGCAACTGTTGCAATATTTTTTAATATTATTAGTTTATATATTTAGATAAGATACGTGAAGATCGTAGATACTATCGAAATAAAGAATTGGAGTAATTGAATAGAAATATTGTATAAATTGTTGTAAGTGCTAAATTTAGCACTTACAACAATTTATACAATATTTCTATTCATACTTAATTTTCCATCTTAATCTTAATTTTCTAATTTTATTTTTTGAAATTTGGCTCCAATAAACTACTACTCTACTCTTCTGTGGATGCTGAATGTGATCGGAGATCGAACCGGATGAGATCGAAGACTAATAAACCTTCACCACTTGGTTATTGGCTTCGAAGGCTGTCGAACAAAGTGGAGACTGAGAAGATGCCTCTTTCTAAATTGCGGATATTATCAACGCCAACACTCTGGCGTTGATACCATCATGAATGATGCCATCCTTGACTTCGTGATCCCAGCTGATCTTGATCTAATCTCGTTGGTGGTTGAATCAGTAACGCTAATAATTCTGAACAACTGGCCATAATCAATCAGCTCTTTCTTCTTGAACTAATTATAGACGATAATCTCGGCAATAGGAATATTGGCATCGACAGCGATGGCCTTGATCTCAGTCTTCGCCTTGACTTCGACTTTCGTCGACGCTTCCGCCCTTGCTTTGATCTCGATGTCCGCGTGGACGTCACCATGTACACTTCCGTTTGCGCTCCGACTTCGAACTTCGCGTTTGCTTCCGTTCTGACTTGGCTCGATTGTTGAGAAAAGGTTGCTCGTCGCGGAAGAAACAGTTAGAATAATTGCTCCCGAGTGAGAGACATCGTTCTCCAAAGCTAATATTTGTTTAACAATTCGAAAAGAAATCGGACAAAGTCAACGAGATTCCTCATACTTATTTATACATATATGTACGTCATATTTAATCATGTCGCAAGAGAGAAAGAATCATATTCCGCCAACAGTAGATATTCGTTGTAATTTCTAAAATTAAAAGGATATATTTTTTATATTTTTTTTCTCTCTTTAATATAAAAATTAATTTATAAATTTAATTATACTCAATATTAAAAATAGGAATAGTTAAATATTTCCATCAAGTATTCGCCTAAATAAAGTCGATTCTATTTAACTTAATAAGTTGGCTACTTAAAAAAATTAATCTTTACATTGTCGACAGATCACTGAAAAAAGAAGTGTTTAAATTTAAGATATTAAAATATTTTATTCTTGACTCCATTTTTTAAACATTCAAAGAGGTTTTAATTTTAAACTTTTTAAATAGATAAAACACTAAAAAATAGGGACAAGAATAAAACACATTTCTTTTTACATTGATATTGTCGTGTACCCAACGATCGAGAAATAAAGAGAAAGATAAATAATTGCAAACTTTGACAAGGAAATCTCTATATAGTAAATTGTTCTCGAATCCGTGCCGGATGTGATGTAATTGTTGCGAAGCCGGCGGAACTCAATTGGAGCGATATTGTGTGCTGAGATTGCGGGACAACGGCCGCACTGTGGGGTGTCGACTGGGCACGGCTGCGGGTAGCATGAACGGCCAACGCCTTCTCTTATTTGGGATCTGCCCAAATTGGAGAAAGTTTCCTCTGCCGATTGTCGTTATTTACTTTGCTTTTATCGCATTTGTCAACAAGGAATAATGATGAAGGGAAAAGATCGCGATATACGGAAAATAATTTTAAAAAAACGCATCTATGACAATCCTGTAATATCATTAATTTAAGAAATTTCTAGAAGAGGAAAATGGTAGCGCGGCCTTTAAAATTTATTTTTCTTATTAATATAACTGCAGCTCTAATTTACGGAATAACTTCCTCAATTACATCACGTGTGATATATCTATCGCCGCGCGCACAGTACCAGCAACGCGTTTAACGTGTGTTACGTTTGAGATAATTGTAGAAATAAGTCACAGAGAAACACTCTTTGACGGAGGAAAG